AGAATAGCTTCCGATCTATTGACCGGTGCAGCGCCGGAGAATAGCCACTTGCTTCATAATATTGTTTCTTGACACTACCATATTTTAGCTTTTTCACATTATAATTTTATGTTTACAACAATGTCAGTGGTTTGGGTGAGTGGGGGAGGGGGGTGGCGATGGCGAAAGTAGGGGTATAACATGAGGATAGAGAGAGAGGGAGAGAGAAAGAGAGTGTATGTGTGTGCGCCCGCGCGCGTGTGTGTGTGTGTGTGTGAGAGAGAGAGAGAGAGAGAGAGAGAGAGGGGGGGCTTCTTGTATGTCTAAAATGGAATGTCCTTCTCTATGTCTACAGGTCTGTCTCATGAATAGTCTCAATATTAAACCGAAGCTCTTTCTGACCAACTGAAACTAGTGAAACTGACTAGGGCAAACTCTTTCTAAACACTCTCTTTGACTATTTAAGCACTGAATTAATACACTTTCCTTGAGGTGCACACACAATGCTATTTAATCGAAGCAGGGAGGTCCGACTTGAATGTCGTTGTGTCGTTTCACGTCAGAGTATCGATCAGCACTTCAGAGCAACATTAATGGAGTCAAAGTACAAACATCAATTTTTCAGAGCAGCTGCAAGTAGTCGTACAGATTTAAAACCCCCATTGACACAATTTAGACCATTATTCGAGCCTGTCTGTCGGGGCTATCCTGGGATGATAAAAGTGTACACTGTTCCAACCCCCCCCCCCAGGGCAGTACTACTGATTGGAGTTTCTTTAGGCCATTCCCAAAGGGGGGATATTAGTATGTTCTTATGCGCAGTAGAATTGTAAATGGACTGATTTATCAATGTCATGCTCATACTATGCCGAAACAACATAGGAGGACTGCTGCTTTTTCTTTTCCCGTCCGAATTATCGTCATTTCCCCTCCACTTCTTTTGTATATTTGTTACACTCTTGGGGACTGCTATTTCCTGGGTGCCTTGATAGTCGAAGCAGACTTTGTGCTGTTAAGGCTAGACAGGTGAGCAGAGTAAGCCCGATTCCCCCTTTGGACTCCTCTGTTGACATCCACCCCTTGGCGCTCATATGACCTTATACCTTTGCGAGCGTCGTAAAATCTTACTAAAACAAAAGCAAGTCACAACAGACAGATGGAGATACTTAATAGAAACATAACAAGAACCCCCCCCCCTGA